TCCCAGCGCGGATCCAAAAAAAGCCGCGCGGAGCGCCAAAATTGTATGTGTTATGGCGTGTTTGTTCCTTCTTCGATCCCCCCCCCCTCTAGCATTCGAGGATTGAGGAAATTGCCATCTCTTGCGCCGCCTTCTGAGAAGGCCTTCTCCCTCTCTGACGGGGCCCTGGGACACACAAACAAAAAGACAAGTGGCACGTGTGCCATGGCTCTTGCACAAAAAGAACGGGGGAGGAGGAGGAGGTGGAGGAGGGGGGAAGAGGGGGCAAGACATCGCCCCTCGGGGCCCAGCAACGGGGCCCAAATCCCAGGTGGGAAGGGGGGGAGGTGGCGCGCGTCGTTACGCGGAATAAAACTGTCGGGGCGGAGGGGGCACGGGGCGGAGCCCCCACTGGGCCCCTGGGGACGCGGGGAAACGGAATAAAGCGTTCGTGGCGGAGGGGGAAGAAGTGGGCGGGGTTCCCGCTGGGGCGCTGGAGACGCGGGGGGGCTCGGGGCAGAGAGCCACGGCGCGGGGGTCCCACTCTGGCGCTGGGAACGCGGGGGGGGGGGCGCGGGTGTGCGACGCGGTAATAAAGCGCTCGTGGCGGAGAGGGCAATGGGCGGGGCTCCCGCCGGGGCGCTGGGGACGCGGGGGGGCTCGGGGCAAAGAGCCACGGCGCGGTGGTCCCACTCTGGCGCTGGGGACGCGGGGGGGGGTGCGACGCGGAATAAAGCTTTCGTGACGGAAGGGGCAGTGGGCGGGGCTCCCGCTGGGGCGCTGGGGGCGCGGGGGGGCTCGGGGCAGAGAGTCACGGCGCGGGGGTCCCACTCTGGCGCTTGGGACGCGGGGGGGGGGGGGGGGGACGCGGGGGGGGGGGGGGGGGCGCGCGACGCGGAATAAAATAGTCGGAGCTCTAGACACCCTGTGCAAGAGAATAAAGGGGTCGGGGCGGAGGGAGTGTGCCGTGCCGGAATAAAGGGGTCGGGGCGGAGGGAGTGTGCCGTGCCGGAATAAAGGGGTCGGGGCGGAGGGGTGTGCCGTGCCGAAATAAAGGAGTCGGGGCGGAGGAGCGCACTGGCTGGTGGGCGGGGTGGGGGGATGGGCGAAATGTGTGCCGTGCCGAAATGAAAGGGGTCGGGGCGGAGGGGTGTGCCGTGCCGAAATAACAGGGGTCGGGTCGGAGGGGCGCGCTGGCTGTTGGGTCGGGGGATGCGGAGGCGGTGTGCCGTGCCGAAATACAAGGACCGGGGCGGAGGGGTGCGCCGTGCCGAAATTAAGGGGTCGGGGCGGAGGGGCGCGCTGGCTGGTGGGTGGGGGAAGGCGGAGGGGGTGTGCCGTGCCGAAATAAAGGGGTCGGGGCGGAGGGGTGTGCCGTGCCGAAATGAAGGGGTCGGGGAGGAGGGGCGCACTGGCTGGTGGGTGCTGGTGGGGGTCGGGGCGGAGGGGCGTGCCGTGCCGAAACAAAGGGGTCGGGGCGGAGGGGCGCACTGGCTGGTGGGTGCTAGTGGGTGGGTGGATGCGGGAGGGGGGATGGAGGGTCGCGCTGGCTGGTGGAATGTGTAGGTGATGAGGGGTGTGCCGTGCCGAAATAATGTAGTCGGAGCTCTAGACACCCTGTGCAACAGAACACAAATAACAGGAGTCCCCGTATTTTCCTGCATGTTCTGGGTTTTTGTCGTTCCGCCACTTTCTATAGTTTCCCATCTTTTCTATGGAATCGGCGATGAATTGTGCCTGTGCTGTTTTCCCCCTCCTGACTCTCGCTTCCCCCCCCTCGCTCCCCGCCGAGCCTGGGAGGGCCGCCGCCGCCTCGACGCCGAAGAGGCCCGGGGACACACGAAGACATCCGCCGATCCGGCGTGTGAGTTTCTGAGAGCGCGGACTTGAGCTCGCTCAAGCTTCGCTCTGCAGGGGGCGGGGGGGGGGGGGCATTATTTCCGACGTCATTTCCGACGTTTTTCGGTACACGGGGATATTTCCGACGTCATTTCCGACGTTTTTTGGTGCCCGGGGACAGGGGGGTATAGAAAACTCCACTTCCGGAGCCCCGACCGCCCAAGACAGCCCAAGAGGAAGCCAAGAGAGGCCCCAGAGGCCCCCTAGACAATGCAAGAGGGCCCCGAATCGCCGAAACATCTTTCGAACCGCCCAAGATGCCCCGAAGACAGTTCCAGAAACCTCCAAGACGTCCTCAAGTCTCACCCCCCCCGGATCGGCGGCACTGGCCGGAGGCCAGCTCAATACACACAGATACCAGGATCCCCCACACTTTCTGGCATGTGCTGGGTTCTTGTCCTCCCCCCCTGCTTGCCATACTTCCCCGTGCTTCCCCAGGGATCGACGGCTCCTTGTGTCTGCATGTTTCCCCCCCCCCTCCCCCGAGCCGGGCCCTCCTCCGAGTCAGAGTCTAGATCATCTCGGGGCGCGCCGCCGGCGAGGCAGCGCGCCTCCTGGCACGCTGCCGGCGAGGCAGCGCGTCTCCGGCACGCTGCCGGCGAGGGCAGCGTGCGCGCTCGAGCCGGAGAGGCGGTCGCGCGCGTCGCCGGCCATCGGTGCGTCGCTGCCTCCCCCTGCTCCTCTGCTTCCTCGCGCCTCCTCGTCGTCTTCGTGCTCGGCGTCCCTTCCTCCTCCTGCCTCTCTGCCATCATCGTCTTCGACGTCGTGGTCGCCGTCCCTCTCCCCCCTTCCTCCTCCTCCTCCTCTCCTTCCTCCTTCCTCCTCCTCCTCCTCCTCCCTCCTACTCCTCTCCCTTACATCCTCCTCCCTCCTCCTCCGCCTCCTCACTCCTTCCTCCTCTCATCATCATCATCCATCATCATCATCATATCCTCACTTATCCTCATCTCCCCTCCTCCTCCTCCGCCTCCTTCCTCCTCCTCCTCCTCCTCATCCTCATCATCATATCCTCATCCTCATCCTCCTCCTCCCCTCCTCCTCCTCCTCCCATCACAATTTACATCACGATCGCCATCACCATCGCCATCACCATCACCATCACCATCACGATCATCAGCTCAGCATCAGCATACAGTATCATCAGCATCATCATCCACACCAATTCATCATCATCATATCAGCATCATCGCATCATCATAATCATCATCATCATCATCATCATCATCATCATCATCATCCTCATCCTCATCCTCATCCTCATCCTATCCTCATCCTCATCCTCATCCTCATCCTCATCATCATCCTCATTCATCCTCATCCTCATCTCATCACACTCATCCTCATCCTCATCCTCATCCCTCATCCTCATCCTCATCTCATCCTCCTCCTCATCCTCATCCCATCATCCTCATCATCACATCATCATCATCATCATCATCATCATCATCATCATCTCGTCATCGTCATCGTCATCGTCATCATCATCATCATCATCATCATCATCATCATCATCAGCAGCATCATCATCATCATCATCATCATCATCATCATCATCATCATCATCATCATCCTACTCCGTATTATCATCATCATCATCATCATCATCATCATCATCATCATCATCATCATTATCATCAGCATCATCATCATCCTCATCATCATCATCAGAATGATCATCATCATCATCATCAGTATCATCAGCATCATCAGCATCACCACCACCACCGTCATCATCGTCATCATCATCAGCATCATCATCAGCATCATCATCATAAGCATCATCATCATCATCATCATCATCATCAGCAGCACCGTCATCGTCATCATCATCGTCGTCATCAGCCTCATCATAATCTTCAGCATCATCACCTTTAAAACCATCATGATCAGCAGCATCAGGATCGACATCAGCATCGGCATCGTCACAATCATCACACTACTCACCATTATCAGCAACAGCATCAGCATCAGCATCAGCATGTTCTTCCTCATCATCCTCATCATCAGCATCATCATCAACAACAACAACCACAACTGCATCCTCACTATCAGCAGCAGCATTATCATCAGCATCCTCATCATCATCATCAGCAACATCATCATCATCATCACCACCATCACCGTCATCATCAGCATCAGCAGCATCATCATCATCAGCATCATCATCGTCATCAGCCTCAACATAATACTCGTCATCATCATCATCATCATCATCAGCAGCAGCATCATCATCTTCATCTTCATCACCATCATGATCAGCAGCATCAGGATCGACATCAGCATCGGCATCATCACAATCATCACACCACTCACCATCATCAGCAGCATCACCATCACGATCACACTACTCATCAGCATCATCATCAGAAGCATCATCATCATCAGCGTCATCAGCATCATCATAATCATCATCGTCATTATCATCATCATCACCATCATCAGCATGATCATCCTCATCAGCAGCAGCATCACCATCAGCATCAGTATCATCACCAACACCATCACCATCAGCACCACCATCATCAGCATCAGCAGAATCACCATCATCGTCATCATCATCGTCATTATCATCAGCCTCATCATCATCATCATCATCATCATCATCATCATCAGTATCATCAGCATCTTCATCATCAATAGCAGCATCGTCATCAGCGTTAGCATCATCAATATCCATCCGCATGCCCATCACCCTTCTCCTTCTTATTTCTATGGTTACTACCATTAGTATTGCCATTCTCGTTAGCGCATAAATATCATTCGTATTACTACTCCCAGCAATATTGTCATTAGTATTACTCTATAATTCGTACCTGTACGACCACCCTTCGGGTGATAAGGAGGTTGTGGGGGGGAGAGGGGGGGGACCAACATCTGACCCAATCGATCTCACTATCGATCTCACTCAACGGGACACCACGGGACACCACGGGAGACCAGGGGACACCGCGGGACACGGCGGGACGGGCGGGCGGGGGAGACTCATTTGTCTTGGCTTCGCCCTAGCAACGGCGGGTTCATTCCTCACGCGCGCCCACGCAGCTTCGCCTCGCCCGCACGCACGACACGAACGAAACGGAACGATTTCCCGGTTGGGGGTCTCCGTTCCACTGCGATCTCACCCCCCAATCTCCGATTATGTTCAGTAGTAATATGATTATTGATACAATGTTTATTATTCGCTACCCTCCTCCTCCTCCTCCGCCTCCTCCTCCTTCTCCTTGTACTCCTCCTTGTACTCCTAGTGCCACCTCGTCGCCATCGTATTCCTCCTCGGCTCGGCTGGTCTCCACGGGTCTGTCTCGGCAGAGCGCCGCCGCTGCAGACGCGGCCCATGCATGTGCTACTCACCCAAAGCAACCCAGCTGGAAACGCACCAACCAGGGTCACTCCTCCTGTAGAGGGGCATGCCCGACTTGACTCTAGACTCTGGAGCGCCATCGCCGTCGTCGGTCGTCGTCGCGGCCCCGCCCTGGAGACCCTGGCGCCTGGCACGCCTGCTCTGCCGCGAGCGACTGCAGCGGGCTCGAGATGATGCCGCACGCGCTGCGGGTGGGGAGGGCAGGATCCACCGGCATCGAATCAGGAAATCGGATTGAACCAGGATTAAAGGGGCCCTGGCGGACACACAAACAAATGGGCACATATGCCAGAATTCATATAATTTTCCCATGTTTTCTGTGTTTTCGTCTTCCCCCCCACTTCCCATATGTTTCCATATTTTCCTGGGAATCGACGATCACTTGTGTCTGTGTGTGTTCTCCCCCTCCTGAGGAATGCGCCTCGGCTCGAAACTCAGCGGCACGGAGTCGAAGCCGACTCGGGTCGGCTGCTACGCAAGGACGCACCACGGCGCCGTGCAGGCACCAGGATCGCATCGGCATCGACCTCGAATCGGCTGGATCGGACCGAGGCGGACCCTGGAGAGGAGGAGGAGGAGGAGGAGGAGGAGGAGCAGGAGGAGCGTGGGGAGGAGGAGGAGGAGGAGGAGGAGGAGGAGGAGGAGGAGGAGGAGGAGGGGGGAGGAGGAGGAGGAGGGAAAATGAGGAGGACGAGGAGGAGGAGGAAGAGGAGGAGGGGGACCCCGGAAGGCGAAGGGAAGGCCTGCCGGGCGTGCGGGCACCGGGAGAGGGCACGGCCGCAGAGGGGTTCGGCCGGCCGAGCGGCGTGCAGAGGGAGCGACCTGCGGATGGGCACCTGCTCGGGGGTCACAGAGGAGGAGGGGGGAGGAGGAGGAGGGAGGAGGAAGGAGGAGGAGGGAGGAGGAGGAGGAGGAGGAGGAGGAGGAGGAGGAGCAGGAGGAGCAGAAGGAGGAGGAGGAGGAGGAGGAGGAGGAGGAGGCGGAGGAGGAAGAGGAGGAGAAGGAGGAGGGTGAGGAGGGGTGAGGGAGGAGGAGGAGGAGGAGGAGGAGGAGGAGGAGGAGGAGCAGAAGGAGGAGGAGGAGGAGGAGGAGGAGGAGGCGGAGGAGGAGGAGGAAGAGGAGAGGAGGAGGAGGAGGAGGAGGGGTGAGGAGGGGTGAGGAGGAGGAGAGGAGGAGGAGGAGAGGAGGGAGGAGGAGGAGGAGGAGGAGGGGTGAGGAGGAGGAGGAAGAGGAGGGGTGAGGAGGAGGAGAAGGAGGAGGAGGGGGAGGAGGAGGAGGAGGGGGAGGAGGAGGGGTGAGGAGAAGGAGCGCGCACACGGCCCCACCATCCGCGAGGCCAGCCTCCTGTTACGGGCGCTCGCGCCACGCATGTTCTGTCCAAACTCACGACATACCATGCACACGTACGTCGCGTCTTCGCTCCCGGGAGCTATGCTTTCTCTGGCTGCGCGAGAGCTCGGCTGCGCTTGAGTGCAGAGCTCGGACGTCCATTGACGTGGTTGAGGCAAACGATCCTCCATACGCATACAAGCAGGATCAAGGGGCCATCTGTGAGATTCGGGATGTGTGGACTGTAGGGGAACACCTGAGGGCAACCCGCTTCTGCTCCTCCTCCGATGGCCATATCTGAACCGTGCCTCAACCAGGAGAGCCCAGAATCGAATCGAAAAATCGGATCGGCGATCGAAATGAATCGGATAGGCGGAAATCGATAGCCAAGTCGGGAAAAGTCGAATCGGCGGACATCGGCAGGCTAGTAGGCCTCCAGTGAGAAATCGGAACCTAAATCGGAATCCCAAGTCGAATCAGATTGGAATCGCAAGCCATCGAAGTCGCATCGAATCGAATCGGAGGAATCGAAACGAGCCCTGGCCTTGGCCACGCTTGAAGAGATGCTCCCTCGACGTTCCCCAACCAGCGCCTGCACCTCAGGGGCCCTCACCCAGGCTGAGCCATCGAGACGTTGCACTGCTCCTCGGAGGCGCCGCCCGGTGCCCAGCTGGTGCCCCCGCCGTGGGCGCCCCGCGGCGCCCCCCGTGCGCTGGGTGGGCCCGTCTGCGGCGGACGCTCGCCCGGGGCCTGCGCGGCGCCCCCGCCGTCGAGCGCCTCGTGGGCCCGCCGAGGCCTGCCCCGGCGGCCGCCCGCGGGCGCCCGCGGAGAGGCGCCCCGTGCGCCGGCGAGGCCCGCCGAAGTCTGGCTGGGCGGGCGCCCGTCGGCGCCCACGGGGGGGGGGGCGGGGAGTCCGGTGCACGGGGCACCAC